CCCACATCACTGCATTGTGGCACTGTATGTGGGGTAGGCGTCCAAGAGGAAACAGTGCTGCTTGCTCAGCTTTTCGTAGGCTTTCAGTCACTTCTTCTGCTACCCACAAGCAAATTAGGCCTTTCTGGTGCTGATTCCTGGGTGGCTGGGTTTGTACATGTTCTAGGATCCTGTGGGTCTCTCCAATGAGTTCTCCTGTGAGACTGGGAATTTCTCCCACTGCCTCAACTCCCACAGGTTTTTTCAGTCAGAGGCTTTATTTTCCTTTGCTGGAACCATGGGTTGCCTGGTTTGTATCACTCCCCAGTTGTTTCTCCTGGTTTATCCACATGCTAATATGGGACCATCAGTTCCACCTGCCTCGCCTGGTCCACCAGCTGCTGTCATGCCTGCCCCAGTCCTCCAGCCATCACCTTGCCACAAGTCCTCTGAACTCTGGCTGCCCATCTCCACCCCTCCTGCAAGTCTAGATGAATTCTTCTTTAACTCCTTGGTTGCTGGACTTCCATACAGTTTGATTTTCTGGCAGTTTTGGTTATTTTTTGTTTTTAAATTTGTTGTTGTCCTTCTTTTGGTTGTGTGAGGAGGCAGAGTGTATCTGCCTATGCCTCCATCTTGGCCAGAGCCAGGTGTTCCTATTAAAGAGCCCTCACAAAGAATTAGTTGGAGTTACTCACTTTGAGCTCTAGTTATGGGGCAGGAGCTCAAAAGGCATCAGTAACCTACAGAAGAAACTGAATTATCTGGAATCAGGGTGAGGACTGGAATGGCAGCTTTCTTCTAAATAGAAGGGCTGGCAGAGACCATTGTTCCATTGCCGTGAACTCTCTCCACCCCTCCCCGCAACAAAGCCAGCAGGAGAGTGCCATATCTGAGTCTCCATCAACTTAACTACCACTGTTCATCCTGCCTTGGTGATTTCCTGAGTTGGGACCCCACACAACTTGCAGGCCCACCTAAATCCTTTCCAGTGGCTTTTCCATACAAAAGGCCTATGTTGTCTCATGCTTGACTTTCTTCCCTTGGTATGCCCCATATCTTTTGCTAAGTGGCCCCAGACCGGGCACTAGTGCTGCTGACCTTGGTTTGCAGTTTGGTTCCTTCTGGGTGCTTCTAAGCCAAGCACCAGTAGCAGCCATCTGCAGATAGCATTATAACTAATGCCAGGTGGCCCTGAGTGGGACTGGAAATACATACATATAAACATGTGAGTTCATCTATGCATATATATATATATCTATATATATATATATATATATATATATAGAGAGAGAGAGAGAGAGAGAGAGAGAGAATTACAACACCCCCTACACACACACACACACACACACACCCCATCTCTGGAAGGTGTGTAAGAATCTGGTATCAGGGCCTGCCTTCAGGAGATGAGAATTGAGTAGCTGGGGAAACAAGTATGGAAGACTCACTTTTCACTGTATATCCTTTGATACTTTTGAATTCTGTATCATAGGTATTAAATGCCCACTACAAAACCAATTACTGTATTTTGCTGTGTATAATGCACACTTTTTCGCCTAATTTTTTTGAGGAAAAAACAAGGATAAGCATTATATATGGGCAGTACTAATTCTGTATCTTTTCCATATAAATCGTTTTCATTCTCTTATTTATGCTTATGTGTTACAGTGTAATGCTAGAAAGCAATAATAATATACACATGGAAAATGATATCCTGGAATACTATCATTGGTTTTATTTTATTTTTTTTAAAGATTTTATTTATTTATTTTTAGAGAGGGAAGGGAGGGAGATAAAGAGAGAGAGAAACATCAATGTGCGGTTGCTGGGGGTCACGGCATGCAACCCAGGCATGTACCCTGACTGGGAATTGAACCTGCGACACTTTGGTTCGCAGCCTGCGCTCAATCCACTGAGCTACGCCAGTCAGGGTGATCATTGGTTTTATTTATAAAAATTAATAAAAAGTTGAATTAAAAATTTAAAATGATTTTTAAAAAGACTTTTTCCTGACAGTTTAGGCCAAAAACATGGGTGTGCATTATGCACAGCAAAATACAGAAAATACTTTTAAAATAAAATGGGAAGGAAAAAACATACTAAAGGTATGGAGACCTACATGAACTTCAATGCTATAGGGACCTATATAATGATTCCAAAAGTTCAACTTTACCTGCTTTTTTAAAGAAAAGAGCCAGGGATTCAGAGCCCACTATTTGTAAAGATAGCTGCAAAGATAATTATGCTCAAGTTTTCTGTGGCTCACTGTGGAAAAACTCAATATATCTTAAATACACATTTTTTGTTGAGGCACAATAAATTAAAACATAAGCGCCTGTTGTATGTTGATAAAGAAGGTGAAACTGGGACACACTGCAACAATCAAATACTTGCAAAATTATTGGATTTTACCATAAGTTTCCAGTAAGGACTTCTGACAACTTTCAACAGCTAAAAGAACATCAAGAGTTACAGTAAAAGATTGTAGGTAGCAGAAGCACAGTTAGGACAAGGAGGAAATTGTTCATTCATTCCATATCAAAGTTCTATTGGGTGCCCTCAGCCCTAAGAATTAAAACAGACAGTTAAAAATCTAGTAGCAGAAGACACACAATATGCAAATGAACAAATAAAAAGTGACGAACTTTAATACGTTTGATTGTGAAAAACAAAGTAAAAAAGTAGACTAAAGGGTGTAAAAGAGGTAGTTTCCAACTTTATATATGGGATCCAGGACCACTTTAGAAGGTAACAGAAGGTAAATCCTAGAGGAGATAAGAAAACAGTAAACCATGCAGACAAGAGAAGGTGGTGAGACACAGCATCCCAGCCCTGAGGTGAGGCAAGAACCAGCCCTGAGGTGAAAATAGAAGAAGTGGCATGAAATTTGAGGACCAGGGTAGAATCCCAAGTGGCCAAAATGTAATTGGGGGAGGTGAGAGGACTAGTACATGAGGTTCCAGAGCTCAGGAGGGAGGGGCTTTGACAATGTATGAGGTGAGCAGCTACTGTGGAATGTCTAGGCAAAAAGCAGTATGATGACTTATATATATACAGTTTTGCTCCTCTTTTCCATCTTAAGAAGAAACAGATGGAAAGTAAGGAAAGAAGTGGGATGAAAGAGGCTATTGCAATAATCTAAATAAAAATGACTACCTGGAAAGGGTTATGACACTAGAGGTAACAAGAAATGCTGGGCCCTGTGTGCATTTGAAAGTGGAGTGTTAGGAGGTACCCATGGGTAGGAGGAGATTATAAGTAAAAGAGGAGTTGGGGATATCGGGAGTAATGGCAAGAAGTTTATTTCCATTTTCTGAGACGGGAAAAATTGTAGGAAAGGGAGGGAAGGTCAGGAGCTTGATTCTGCTACACCATCGGCACACAGCTGAAACTGGCAGTGTGGGGGAGAGGCAGTAAGGCATTTGGCTCTGGTGATGGGGCAGAGGTATGTGATGCAGATTAAGTTTGAGACTCATTAGTGTGCAACTAGTATTTAAAGCTACAAGATGAGATGAAATCACCAGGGTGGTGAAGTGAGTAGAGAAGAGGTCTGGGACTGAGCCTGGTAGCAGTTCAGTACTGAGAAGCCAGGAAAGGCATGAAAAAGAGCACAGGAGAAACAGGGAAACAAACCAGTAGCAAGCATTGCAAAGAGACACATGACTCACACAAATAAGGACTGGAGAAGCAACGTTGAGGTAGAGGTCACAGCTGGCACCAAGAAGAGACATGTGGAGAGAACACAGGCCAGAAGTCTCAATGAAATGGGCTCAGGAAAGAATGGAGAGCACAATTTGGATACAGTGGTTCAACAACTCAAGCCATGTTGTTATAAAGCAAAGAAGAAGAATGCACCAACAGGAAGAGGACATATATGGTCAAGACAAATTAAAAACACATTTTAACATGATGGAAAAATAATGCATGCACATAGGATGATGGGAAACTTCAGAGAACAGAATTAGTAGTGCTGTGTTCTTGAGTAAACTACACAGAATGACAGTTGGTAATTACAGCATTATTCAAGATATCCTAACTATGTCAACAGAAAAACAAATGAATTAAATGCATAAATAAATATAATGAAAATGCACTATATAGCAATGAAAATGAACAAATTACTAAATGTAACAAAACTGATGAATCTCCCAAGCACAGTATTAAGTGAATGTAGTCTACCAAAAGAGAATGCATACTGTATGACTACTGAATGATTCTGTTTATATAAAGTTCTCAAACATTCAAAGGAGTCTACTGCATCAGAAGTCAAGATCATGGTCACCTAGAGAAGGAGGGAGGAGGACATGAAAGGGGGATAGGGTGGTTCAAGGTACAAACTGTATACTACTTCTTGGACTGGAATAGGAATTATTATTCACTTTGTGATTATTCATAGAAATATACATTTATGCTTTTTGTATGGTCCTTTATGTATTATAATGTTAAGTAATATGTATTAAAATTAAAATAAAATGATAAAATAATGCAAGTTACCCTCTGATATCCTCAGCATATAATGGAAGAATATAGAGACTCATGATCATCTGCTACAGACACAATAAAAATATTCTTCCTCTGGGAGAGAAGTTTAACTTAAAGATCTGTAAGTGACCTCAAACCTAAGAATTTATCTTAGGAAACTTTTAAAAACTGCTGGTAAAGTTAATAGTTAGCCTTTGAAAAAAGGCTGCTGAAACTTTCCCTCAAAAGTAGTAAGATTTTCTTCTTTTTGTGGTAAAAATTAATATCCTATGAGGAAGAAAGCAAAAATGATACCCTAAAATTTTATTTTTTAAACCATTAATGACCATTTATGCTCCTTAGATCAAACCATACAAACAAGCCATTAGAGACAATACAGTACTTCTGTTATTAAAAAATCTATGGCAAATCCTGGCTTCCTTTCCCTGGAATTTCTCTATAATAAAGTAACAAAAATGTTCGTGAAAACATTTTTGAGGCAAACACTTTTGAGACAAACTCACAGTTAGCGACTGCTGGAATCAGTTATTTGCACTCACCAGGGAGGGTAGATACGGATGACATCTTGTGGATGCCCCCTGAGATAGTGTGCAGTCTCCTTGGTGAAGAGAACCTTCAGGCCAGGCCCAGGGGCCTCACCCTGAGAAGGGCTGTCAGTCTGCGGACCCCCTAACTGCTCACACATGGCAACTTGGATGGTACATTCTTCATGCAGCTCTAGAATTTTCACAGTTAATATACCAGATCTGCTACCTAGAGGGTGAAGAAAAGAACAAAAGGAAAAATAAAGTCTAAAAGACATCAGATTCAAGAGTAAATAAAGTGTCTTGAACAAAAGAATCATGTTCAGTTAGCTTTCTTCACCTGGAGAAAATGTTCTGTACATTTTACAGAGTAAATAGATTCTAACATGTTCACTGGAGCACCTTTTTTTAAAAAACCAAAGTAGACTGCATGTTGCATGTAGTATATTTTAAGCAACACAAAATACAGTCTTTTATCATAAACAAACAGTCTTGTGCACATAGAAAACTCCGAACATTTCACAGAGCATGTTTTTACCCCCAAATCTGAACTTTTTGATAACTATATACTCAGAGAAAGTATGGTCACCTAATTGATCCTTATGCTTTCTTTTTTATTTATTTATTTTTAGGGAGAGGGGAAAGGAAGGAGAAAGAGTGGGAGAGAAACATCAATGTGTGGTTGCCTCTCACACACCCCTTACTGGGGACCTGGCTCACAATCCAGGCATGTGCCCTGACTGGGAATAGAACCGGCGAACCCTTTGTTTCTTAGCCCACACTCAGCTACACCATCTCACCACCTGAGTTTTCTCATGTGTAAAATGAGGATCATGCCACAAGTCTTAATTAATATTTTCAAGAATTAAATGAGATTAATGAAGTTGACAGTGCACATAGCCTATAACCCAGAAATCCTAGATATGTACCTAGAAACTCTTGTCACATTTACTGGGAAAATAAACAGATGCACATCTCTGTATCGTTTGTCAGGGCAGAAAACTGGACCCAGCACAAATCAATACAGAAGTTAACATAAGTGAACCAGATCTATCTCAAAAAGAAGAAGGAATATACAAGATATGCAATATATGATACTGATAACGTCGTTTTTTTAAAACACAGAAACTCATAAAATACAGGGTTGGGCAAAAGTAAGTTTCCAGTGGTAAATACATGAAAGAGTTAATTCTTGCATTACTATTGATTGATTATTTTATTATTTTCCATATGAACAACTGTGAACCTACTTTTGCCTCACCCTGTATTATGACAAATTCCTCTGTAATAAAAGTATATAAATATTGACTAGCAGGATATATAGAAAACTTGCCATAACCACTGTATTCAAGGAGAGAAGAAGAGAAGTGTGACTCAGGAAAGAAACTGAGGGTATTTCCAACTTATTTATCATATTGTTTCTGTTATTTAAAAGAATGTGAATTAAAAAAACCAAAAGATTTAAATGTGTTATTAATTGTAGGAGGGGAATACACTTATGTTTTTCTATTACTGTTTTTTTAACTTAAAAAATGAGTTGAAGGAGATTATAAGTGTTAAGTACCTAGCATATTGTCTTCCTAATAAGACACCAATATGGTTTCTTCACTACTTTAGCCAAGTGGTTAATAGTGAATAATAAAAATTAATGTTTAGCCCTGGTTGGCATGGCCCAATTGGTTGGGCATCATCCTGCAAAGCAAAAGGTCACTGGTTTGATTCCTGGTCAGGGCACATGCCTGGGTTGTGGGTTTGGTCTCCTGCTGGGGTGCATTATGAGAGGCAACCAATCAGTGTTTCTCACATCGATGTTACCCCTTCCCTTTCTCCCTCCCTTCCCCTCTCTCTAAAGGTAAATAGATAAATTTTAAAAAAATAATGTTTAAAAGGCGTGAAGTTTTTAGTTATATAGTTTAATTTCACTTCCATTTCTTTCTTCCTTAGGTTTACTTTTCTCATTTTCTAAGCAACCCCAAATTTTCCATCTCTTCTTAAGTGTCTATAATGTGTTCCCATATTAAGCATGGCTACAAACCTCCCCAAGAGCACTATCTTGAATTCCTGAGGTATATATCTATCTTCCTTCTATTTCTTAAGATAAGGAAGGAAATAGAATGGAGGAAGGGTGTGAACAAGCACAATACTAGCTAGTCAGTACAGGAGAGGAGAGTGGGGGACTCAAAACAAGTATTAAAGAAAGGTGCTGACTAGGAAGTAAATACTGAATCTGCTCTGCCACTACAGGTGTTTCTTTAATAAAAAGTAGCTCATCTTCAATTGGTGGATAGGAAAGGAAGTCAAGACAACAAGAGGTTACTTTTGCATATACATCATTTATCCTGGGCAAGGCAGCCAGAGGAATGGTGGAAAATTGGGGTCTTCAGCAAAGGGAAAAAGCCCTAGTAGTTTAGGGGCTACATTAATTACAGGTACATTTTTAGATATAGTTTAATTAAAAAAACTTGTATTCAGGGCTCATCCTCAACCCTGGGTACCAGGTCAGTTCTCTCACCCATCAACCACTGGCAGAAGCTGCTGTCCAGAGTTTCAGGGCTGCTGTCCTGCTCAAGATCAAGTGTGCCAGCTGAGCACATGCTCTTTTACCCAGTGACTATTTTTGTAGGGCCTGCTCAGCTGCCTGCCTAAGCAGCGTGAGTTCTCTCTTCAGGTACTATTTATTGCCTTGTGCAGCTCTGATTAAAAAGTGACATAGGTTTTCAGTGTTCTGACCCAACCCTACAATTCCCACAGACCCTGAAAGATTTTATAATAAAAAGTAAGATATTGAAGAAACACATAAATAGTATTACAGCTGAAAAACCTTTATTACTAAAATGAATCATAGTGCTTAACTGATTTCTTTGAAGATTTTTATGATAAATCCTGACAATGTTTACGGTGTCTATAAATTCTGCTCAACATTTGTAGCATCAAATAACCTGCAGAATAAGCACACTTTATGATACTATCACTACAGGGTAAACTGCAGCATGCTTGGTGACTAAATAGGTTTCTGCAGGAATAATGATCAGCACTATTTTAACCTCACAACCAAGGTGGGAACAACAAGAAGTACTCTGCAGTCTCTCTCTCCTATAGAACCTCTAACAGCCTTAGGGAGAAACCGGTGGCCTACCTTCACTGAGGAAGATAAGGCAGTGTAATTTCCCCTTCGAGGGAGAAAAAAGCAGAAGGCAATCTAAAACAGATTATATATTTAAAGCAAGCTCTCAGTCTAAGTACAAAAGCATACCTGCTTTACAAATGAAGAAGACTGTTTGCAATTAAATGCATGGTCCATAAAAGGCTATTTGTGTGCCAGCAAGACATTTCCATAAATGAGGTAGGACAGCCAAAATATCACCTCTCCAAAAAGTGTTTACTGAACCAGCCAGAAGCAACTATTCCTTCCCTTTGAACTCCTCACCTTATCATCTTTAAAAAATTTTATTTTTAAATTAAAGTTTATAGTCAATATTATTTTGTATTACTTTCAGGTGTACCACATAGTGGTTAGACAATCATATACTTTATAAAGTGTTCTCTCCAACATTTCAAATACCTATCCAGTAACACACATAGTTACTACAATTATTATTGACTATATTCCCTACACTGTACTTCACATCCCCAGAAGTATTTTGTGGCTACCAGTTTGTATTTATTAATCCCTTTACTTTTGTCATCCTTCCCCTCCAGCTCCCTTCCCCTCTGGAAACCTGCAGTCATTTTTAAATGGAGATAGTATTAACTATTCTCAAGAATACTACAACCATCAAGAGAGATAACAGAGAAAGGCCATAGTGCTGGGCCTGGTGCACCATAGGATAATGGCAGCTACTATCATCATGGTAACTGTCATTATTATTAACTTTTCAAGGCATTTTAAAATATATTTTATTGTACTTGACTCGCAATACCCTATAGAATAGGTAAGAAAGATATTAATCTTCCTTTTTGACAGTTAAGAGAAATGAAAAGGTTAGTTGCTCCAAGACATTTAAAATTTGAAAGTATTGGCAGTCCTAATCTTACAAATTGAGTATCACATGAATCAATAATCCAAATCTCTCTTAGGTAACTGGCAGTTAAAGATGGGAAACTGTAAATGATGTTTTTCCCCTAGTTTATTATGCTAAAATATAGGACTTGTTTAAAATGTAAAGAAAGTCCATCAGGTTGAGATATGAACTCCAGTGAGGCTCTTGCTGTGCCAGCAGTGAGGATTTCGGCAATGATGCTGCACTTAAAAAGAAGAGGATAACTTATCATAGTACTAAATGCTGAAGAGACAGTACCACAAAGATCAAATGGAAGCACAAATATTAATTTATAATACCTAAAACTTTAAATAATTAAGAAAAAGGTATAGAAACATTCACATAAAATATACCACAAGATCTAGAAATTTCTACAAATACTTATATCTAGCAGATAAAACAATTCATAGTTAAAAATAGAAAATATTTGACTTAAGGCTGACGTTTGCTGAATTAATATATAAATGTGTGATTTCATCAACTACTCTTAAAAATGTCTTTCATTTTAAATGACCAAGATGCCACAAAATAAATGAGTAAATGATATAAGAACAAAATATATTTGTGACCACTGGGATAAATAATTTATTTGAAATGTATAGGTCCATTTATATGCAAGTCAACTCAAATTCTCCTAATTGGTCTATGTTGATGAATTAATATATATTGTGAGGGTAACTTTCACGAGTATTTATACAAGAAATACACTATCAGAAACTAATGAAAGCTGTACAAGAAAGTACCAAGTGAAGTGGTAAGAGATAATGAAGTCATCCTCCTACACGAGAGATACATCTATAAGTTTTTCTAAAAGAAAACTTTTCATAATATAATTGTTGCACTAATTTTAAGTTGCTCCATTTAATTATCCAAAAACTGACCACATAGTAATTTGGGATTTTCCCTCAATATTATTATTATGTCTCTCTTTATCCTCACAGATATCCCAAGAAGCTAATACACTGTCTTACTTTAATATGTATGTCCTACTAGTACTGTTTTCTCTCATTCAGGCCAAATCATCAAGTGCCCACCATTCATTTTGTCCTTAGTCTTCACCAATCATGTGTATGCAGGCATAGACACATAAACACAGATGGGGAGAAGGATAACAAGACATCACAGCAAGGCTCAGGAATAGACATCAGGGGATTTTAAAATTCACTTGCTTCCCATGCAAACAGAGCTT